TTTTTTACCACACACATGTCAGATAGAGTACTAATCTTCAGCATAAAGAACTCAAAAAACTTTACACCAAAAAACAAATAACCCAATCATTAAATGGGCTAAGGAACTGAACAAACACTTCTTAGAATATATATAATTGGTCAACAAATATATGAAAAAATGTTCAACAATAAGAGAAATGCAAATCAAAATAACTCTAAGGGGCTGGGATTGTGACTCAGTAGAAGAGCACTTGCCTCATATCTATGAGGCACTGGGTTCAATCCTCAGCACTACATAAAAATAAATAAATAAAATAAAGGTATTGTGTCCATCTACAATTAAAAAATTATTAAAAAAAAAACTACTACTCATCTCACTCCAGTCAGAATGGCAGTTATTAAGAATACAAGCAACAATAAGTGTTGGTGAGGATGTAGGGGAAAAGGCACACTCTTATATTGCTGGTAGGACTGCAAATTGGTGCAGCCAATCTGGAAAGCAGTATGGAGATTCCCTGGAAACTTGGAATGGAACTATCATTTGACCCAGCTATCCCACTCCTCAGTCTATACCCATAGGACTTAAAAGTAGTATACTACAGGGACACAGCTGCATCAATGTTTATAACAGCTCAATTCACAATAGCGAAATTATGGAACTAACCTAGATGCCCTTCACAGATAAATGGATGAAGAAACTGTGGTATATATACACAATGAAATATTACTCAGCATTAAAAGAGAATAAAATCATGGCATTTACAGGTAAATGGATGGTTGGAAAATATCATGCTAAGTAAGCTAATCCCGAAAAAACAAAGGCCAAATGTTTTCTCTGATAAGTGGATGCTGATCCATAACAGAGGGTGGGGGTGGGAGCATGGAAAAAAATGGAGAGGGGCTGGGGATGTGGCTCAAGCCGTAGGGCAATCACCTGGCATGCGCGGGGCACTGGATTCAATCCTCAGCACCACATAAAAATCAAATAAAGATGTTGTGTCCACCGAAAACTAAAAAATAAATATTAAAAAATTCTCTCTTTATCTTAAAAAAAAAAGAAATGCAAAATGATAACTGCCCCTTTGGAAGATGGTTGACAGTTTCTTACACATTAACTCTGCATCTTAGAAATATCAATCTTTTGCCTATTGTTATATGTTATAAATATTATACGTTATAAATATTTTTCCTAGCTGCTCACTTGCTTTCTATATGTATTTCTGATTTTCTAAGTTGTCTTATAGGTGGTGTTTTGCTTTCTTTCACGTACAAAAATTTTATGTGTTTAATTAGATAGATTTGTCAATTATGTTCTCCTTCATGATTTATTCTGTTGCTTTCTTGCTTAGGCTTACCTACATTTTCTTGTAATTTTTAAATATAGTTTCATTTTCTTACATTTAACTAATCCTTTCTGGAAATTATTTTAGTGTGATGTTTCAGAAAAGTAAGCTTTTCACCCAATAGCAAACCATTACCATTGTACTACTTTTCCAGCGCTATGTCTTTCCATAAATAGAAACAGATTATCAGAAGGTTCTCTCACTTCCCCCTTTCTACCTATACCTGAGCATCTGAGCATCTGTGTTGTTCCACAGAGCGGTCTCATTTTGTTCATGGTGATATTTTTAAAATGATTATAGCTGCATAATACATTCAAATAACCTGACACTCAAAGTACCCTAATTATTTCACTCTTCTCTCACATATAATTTCTTCAACAACTTCTGCAATCATTCTGAGAATTTACAAATACTTGAATCCATTGAGATTTCACTTAGAATTCTTTATGTCAAAATTGGGGAAGAATTGATAGCTTTACATTGAGTTGGCCCATCCAAGAAAATGGATTGTCTCCCTCCATACTGTAATCCTATTTTCTATAATTTTGAAGCTTTTTAAAAATAAAATAAAGATCCTGTACATTTCTTGTTAAATTTATTCTCAGATATTTCATATTTTCTATTCATTGCAAATTGGGTCATTTGCTCTTTTTTTTTTTTTCTGTAGCACTATTTAAATTTTAGTCAACTATTTTGTCCAATAAATCAAAAATATTTACAGGCTTCTAAAGGTAAAGAGGCCGTGTTTTATACACTAATCATGAAAAACTGTTTTTCTTTTTACTGCAACCTTCTGACAAGACCTATAATGTATTTACCCTTTGTCCGCATTAGAAAGCTCACCCCTTAATAAGATGATTGCTCCCCACCTACCACAGCTGCCACCTGGAGGACAGCCAACCATCTGCCCAGATGGACCCATGCTGGTGGGAGAAACAGAAAGTCTGGCGGGTCCTTTTCAAAATTGTAGCCCTTCCCTTTTACCCACCCCAATTCTAAAATTAGCCAATCGCGGGGTTTGTAACCAGAACTCCTCCAATCAGAGTGAAGGGCAGCGCTGAGTTCAGTGAGGTACCTAAGCCGGCGCCTTAGGTACCTCTAACCAGGTGCGTTGCAAGCCCTCTGCTCTGTCTCTCCCACCCAGTTTTGAGAACGTGTTTGATTTTTTGCAGCACCTGCGGCATCACGCTGGGATGCATCCTTCTTCCCACCATTGGGCATCCTGCCTCCAAGAACCTCTGTCACTCGCTTGCACATGCCACATCTATTCTTAATCTGTCTCTTCCTGTCTTTGGCACTGTCCAAAAAAGCAGCTGCAGTTAGAAATGGATTTTCTTCATTTCAGTGTGACCCAGGGCCCTAGGCCAAAACAAGAGCATCATGCCATAGAAAATCTATAGTCAGTAAACCAAGTCTTGAAGTTGCCCTCTAGTCTCAAAGCCCTTCCCCTTGGTCATCTATCAGAGGCGCAACTTTGCAGGATGCGTCCCTCAAGAAGGAGCAAACCCCGCCACTGAGTAATGGGTCTAGAAGCCACTGAGAAGTGAGTGCCAGACTCCAAAGGCACACTGTTTCCAGTCAATCTAAAAGTTGGGCTTATAATTCACCTCCGGCCACCAGGGAGAACCAAACTCCACGGCCTGAGGGAGAACTACAACAGCGGCGTTCTCACTCCCTCCAGCCCCCAGCAACACCACCAGGCCACCAGACACCGCCTCCCACTCCCCTCCCTCCAACTAATCGTACCCTTGGAAAACTTGGATTTTTTAAAAGGCGTTTTCTTGAAGCAGGCAGGGGTCAAAAGTTTAAGTATCCTGCTTATCTCTTAGAACAACAGAAGGGGAGAATAAAGAATGAGCGCCCCAAAAGGACAATGATTCTTCATTTCCCACACAGGGAGGGAAGCTAGGCTCTGTGGTCCAGGGGACGGTCCTACAGATCCTACGAAATGCAGCTCTTTCAGCTGTGGAGCTGCCTCTTGGAAAGCCCCTCCACCCGACATTGGGATCTGGCTTTCTCTCCTGGAGCCCCTTCTTCCCCCTGGTGCATTTGGGGAAAAGGAATTTCTGTTCTGCACCCACTTCCTGCCATTCCCTCTTCTCTGATGATTGTCTGGGCCCTTAACTCCTGCTCCCATCTCCACCCCTTTCCTCCAAAACACTTGATTGTAAGACACTCTTACTAAGAAGGTAGAGTATTTTGTAGGATTTCAACTTGGCAGAAAATAATTCAAAATGGAATATTAGACATTTAATTAATGTGGTCACCCATCTTTACTTTGGGAAAGTTCTTGCTCTAAAACCTGGTTTTCCTCCTACCTCTCTAATTCTGCCTTCTCTTCTCTTGCTACACCTGCCGCTTTCTGGCCTCTCCTTCATGATCTCATTCCATGATCCAGGCATTAAAGTAGGCATTTCTCTCTGCCACTGCTCTTTCTTGAAGCCCAGTGAATACCTCTGCCTGGCTTTCTACAGTCACTCCACACTCAACATGACTTCTGTCCCCTGAACAGCTCCTTCAAGAGTGTTTCCTGTTTGGTCAACAATGGTAATCTACCCAGTCCTTCAAGTCAGAATCATTGGATCTTCTTTGACTTCTGTACCCAACTGTGAACAAGTCCTGTGAATTCTGTGCCCAAACCTTCTTCTGTGTCCCCATGGCTACCCTGGTCTAAGCCAGCATTGCCTCCTACCTAGGTTATTACCACTGAAGCCATGCTTGTCCCTTTTCTGTTTCAACCTTTTTACAACATCCAAAGTGACCTTTTAAAACCACATCTGGAGCTGGGGTTGTGGTTCAGTGGCAGAGTGCTTGACTAGCATGTGTGAAGCTCTGGGTTTGAGTCTCAGCACCGCATGTAAATAAATAAAATAAAGGCCTGTTGACAACTAAAAAAATATTATACACACATCTGCTGTGTGTGGTGGCACACATTTGTAATCCCAGTAACTCTGGAGGCTGAGGTCAGAGGACAGCAAGTTCGAAGCCCAGCCTCTTCAACCCAAGACTTAAGTACAAAGTCAAAGAATAGTGGTCCAATTTGGATTGAGACAACCCTCGATGGTACAGTTAGTGCTGAGTAATGGAGAGTGTTAATTTAAAGCTGCCATCAGTAGGCAGAGGGAATGTGGAACAAATTGGAGGGGAACTAATCTAGGTTTGCACCTATTTAATTTGAAGCATTCACTGATCACTCAGGAAAGCTGCTGATGAAGCAATAATATTATTAGTTGGAGGGGGTGCAGCCCAGTGGTAGAGCACTGGCCTAGCCTGTGCAAGTCCCTGGGTTCAATCCCCAGTGCCACAAAAAATAAAGTAAAACAAATGCCATATCACGAAATGGGGGATGGACTCTGGAACTCCAAAAGGAGGTCGAGGTCAGAAATACAGATAATGAAGGCAGGCATTAGGGGTGTGGTTGAAGTTATGAGGAAGTAGAGAGAGAAAACACTGTTAATAATAAACCCCCGGAAAAGAAGAGAAAGAAAAGCTATTTCAAAATTCATCCTTTTTCCTGATTTCCTTTGGAAATTTCCTTCTTCAGAAATTGTTGGCTTACATTGTGAATAATCAGGCCTAATGAATTGACAAAAATGATGTGAGGAAATAGGAGAATAGTAACTTTTGAGCACTCTATATCTCAGCAAAATGGACTACGGAAACATTGGTACTATACCTGAGAGGGTTTGTCTCCTCTTCACTTTATGGCACTGATCTGCTTTAATATTGGCCACTGACATCAAATAGGCCCTGGAAGTATTGTATCCAGCTTCTGATAAAACATTCCAGTAGTGAATGAGGTACAGCCTTGTCCAGAAGCTTGAGCTTTGGATTTTTGATATAAAATCTGTGATACTTATGACACAATGTATGGATATGAATCACTTTAGTATTCTATGCCTTGAAGGAAGCTCTTCTATTTACCACATATCATTAATCTAGTCAAAAACAACTTAACTTACATGACTTTGATCACCAGATAAATATGAGCCTTTTGGTTATCAACAGTCAAAGCCAATTATTTGTCCAGGAGGTCCCCTCCTCCAGGAAGGCTCCCTGGCTCTACCCACCAGGCAAAGGGTCCTCCATCCTTCCTGCTTATACTCTTCACTGTGTCATTTTCAAGTAAAACATTTGCCCCTATATATAGTGACTGACTCCATATCTTCCCCCTACTGGATGGACAGTACAGAAGGCCTGGGGCTGCAGCTTACTCACTACACCCCAGGGCAGTGTAGGAGGCAGAATGGGTGCTCAGTAGATGTTTAAAAATACAAAGAAGGGGGCGCTGGGGTTGTGGTTCAGTGACAGAACGCTTGCCTAGCACACGAGAGGCGCTGGGTTTGATCCCCAGCACCACATAAAAACAAATAAAATAAAGGTATTGTGTCCATCTACAACTAAAAAAAAAATTTCAATAAAAAGACAAATAAGGGAGAAGGAGGAGGGAAGGGGGGATGAAATGTATAGGGAAAAGAAGGAAAGAAGACAGGAGGGTCTCGCAGGAGAACACAGCCCATCCTTATCCCTTTCCAAATCCTGTCCAGTTCTCTGGAATGCCAGTTAACTTGGAGAGGATGGACAGGGAGTGAAAGGGGAAAAGAACCTTCTGCAGAGCAAGCCAGACAGACAGACTGGAGCAACCCAGGGGACCCATCAACCCCAGAAGCTGATGCCAGATGGTGGTCCCATCCAGATGAACAAGTGGGCAGTTGAATGAATAAATGAATGCATCCTGCTCAAGGGAACCATAGGTATCTAAACAACATTAAAACAGAAAAGCCAAATGTGCGTAAACATAAAGACTAAGACTGGCAAGACTCACCTTGGGTTTGTGAGAAAGCTACACAACGCCCCCTAGCATCCGCTCATTTTCATATGCCATGGCAATTCTTGAAACACTCTCCAAAAAGTGTTCTGTTGCTGGAAGTATCTGACCAAGACTAGGTGAAAATGTGTTTTCTTGAGATTCACTGGGTTCTGACAAGCATTTGGACTGCTCTCCCTGACAGGCGTGGTTATACCTATTTTAAAATCAATTATAGTTTAATGCTTCTGACTTTTTTGTATATGTCAATAGTGTAACAAAAACATGACAGCTCTGTGGCCATAATTACCAAATAAAATTCAAGGTAGCTTGAAAAAAAAAAAAAAAAAGATCTTCTACATCAGTCTGAATTTCTCCAAGAATTATTCATAGTTATGATCATCGGTGAGCATGTTGACTTTTTGTGTTGGGTTTTCCCTCTCCCCAAAGGAAATATTTGCAACCTACTTTTCTGTTTTAAATATACACCACGATCACTGACTAAATAAGCACTTTCAAACATTCAAAGGTATGCATTAATCCATTGCCTGGATCTCATGTAAGCCAAAGAGTAGCAGAGCAAATAAATGGCAAATTTGTTGTTGGAGCCAGGACTATTATATCTTCATTTCCAAAGAAAAATAGTTATGATAACCTATAATGCCCAGAGATAAGCTTCTCAAAAACAGGACTTTAATTAAATTAGGGTAGCTATCCCTGAAAACTAACAAAAGAGTTTTTTACTGTTCTGCTTTGCTTGCAGTGGTGCTGGGGATGGAACCCAAGACCTCATGTGAGCCAGGTAATTCTACCACTAAGCCCCAGCCCCAGCCCAGACATATTTTTACATTTTCTGCTTGACATCTTTGCTTGCAAGATGAGTAGAACACATGGCCAGATGGCACACCAAGCCCAACTCTTCCATAAGAACAATAACAAAGTTTAAGTAACCATTCTGCATTTCCATTGAAAGATGTCCAGATCACCCTGGAAGACTCTGTTCCTTTTGGTCTAAGGTGTGCAGATATGCTCAGGTGGCAAAGTGCTTAGGAGATCCACAAATGTCTGCAGTAGAATCAGAAGCTGGAGGGCTAAGCACAGGAGAAAAGGTGTGAGCCACCTGTACCTGATCCCATGGTCATAGGACAGAAGCGGCCCTCTCCTGCTGTGTAAGGCAAAGGCATTCTGTAGGTTGTAAATTGGGAAAGTGGGGTGGGGGTGGGGGGTGAAAGAAAAAAAAGAAGTGGGACAAATATTACCATGAGTTAAAGATTTGTAGTGTTAAATACAATGCCTAAAATTTGGGGCTGGGGGTGTAGCTCAGTGGCAGAGCACATGTTTAGCATACACAAAAGAAATTTTAGGGCTAAGGCTGCAGCTTAGTGGCAGAGTGTTTGCCTAGCATGGGTGAGGCACTGGATTCAATCCTCAGTACCACAAAAACAAATAAAATAAAAAGCATCCTGTCCATCTACAACTACCAAAAAAATTTAAATATATTTTTTAAAAAAGAAATTTAAAAAACTTTAAAAGTGGAAAATATTTTCATAAAATCCCTAATTAGAATAAATAAATTAAAAAAAACATTTTCATAAAAAACACTACATTTAATTTTATCTTTTTACAAAATTCTCATGAGGAAGATAGGAATATGAATCCACCTATGACAAAGTGACTTAAAAATCAGAGAGACCAAGTGATTTGCTCTGATCAGCACATGACCAGTAACTAGAGAAGCAGGATTTAGTTTCTGAATTTAGTGCTCCTCCAAATACACAGCAGGCCTCAATACGTAGGCAGCCAGGGACAGCTGTATATTCATTCAGCAAACACCTGCTGAGTGTAGCTGGAATGGTCCCAGGGGAGTCAAATGTGCTTGGAGTTTTCTAATGTAGCAGAATCATCTTCAGACCCACTGAATTCGAGATCAGGAGGCCATAGGAAGACAGTCATGAAGAGGAGGTCATAGTGGCTAATATTTCTTAAAAATTTACTATGGAAGGGGGTTTGGGTATCATAAATATATAAGGAAGATCAGTGAAGTAGGAGGAGAACAAGAGGCAGGAAGGAAGGAAAAGAAGAAAAAATATAGAATGAATTTAACAAAATCATGTTATATGCATATATAAATGTACCAAAGGGAATATCACCTTTATGTGTATGAAGAAAGTACCAATCAAAAATAAATTGAAGAAGGAGCAAAAGAAAGATCAGTAGAGGAGGGAGAACAGGGGGAGGAAAGAGGGGAGGGAAATGAAGATATAGGGGCTTGAATCAAATTCCTTGCATGTATGATTTTGTCAAAATGAATCCAACTACTATGTATAATTACAATGATCTAATTTTAAAAAGAATTTACTATGGATCAGGCACTGTTCTAAGTATTTTACGTGAATTAATTCATTGAATGCTCACAAGTAACAATCCTATGAAGTAGATACATGTATTTGGTAAATGTGAAATGTGGGACACAGGGTGGCCAAGGTCACCAACTGGCAAGCAAGAATGTCAGGTCTCACTACTAATCTGGCATCAGGATCCCACTGTCAACCATTATGACATATTGATTCCCTCCACTCAAAAGTGGCAGAAAAAATGGACTTCACAGACTGGATTTTGGGGAGCTCTTATGAGGTACAAGGTTACAAGAAGAAATGGAAGAGGCTCTTTCCAGGAAGAGTTCCCCAAGAGCCTGAGAAAGGCAGGTTTCTGGAGAGAAAGGCATCAGTGGTGCTCAAATCTCCCAGGAGACACTTACCCAAAGGTCTACTCGGGCACCTTGAGATCTGCTTGCTTTAGGAAAAAAAGGGGGCAGGACTCTTGTCGTGTGGTCTGTTCATTTTTTACAGTGTCCTCTGCCCTGGGGGCAGTTGTGAGGCACCCACATGCACAAGAGGAATCAGAAGAGACTCTGGACCACAGCAGCCAGCAGATGGGAGTGCACATGAGCCACTGCTGGTGGACTCCTAGGGACACCTGGAACAGAAGGGGACTTTCCAGCTGGTGGGAAGTACCATTGTCAGGGCTGAGCCTCATCTGGGGATGTTCTGGTTGCATGAGAAATAAGTGAGGTGAAGTAATGAAGTGCCTGGTATAGTAACGGCACTGAGAAGAAACCACCATACAGCAAAGGGTGGAAGAATTGCCACAAATCTAAGCGCAACCTCATTGCTAGGCCTGCCCTCTGCTCTGCATCACAGAGCTGGAGTGCTGGCAGGAGTGACTGCAATATGAGGCAGATGAGATAGAAAATAGAATTTATATCTTAAAAATGTAATTAAAGGGCTGGGATTGTGGCTCCAGAGATAGAGCACTCACCTGGCATGAGTGAGGCACTAGGTTCGATCCTCAGAACCACATAAAGTAAAGTGGATACATTATGTCCACCTATAACTAAAAAATAAATATTTTTTTTAAATGTAAGTAAAAAAGAATATAGTTAGAAGAAATTTGCACAGGGCTTGGAATCCTCCCAGAGGCTGAGATTTAAAGATTTTTCAAGTTGTCAGGCTTGAAGTTCTGGGAAAGTCTCACCCAGGGCTCTGCTTCTAAGCCAGTGTGTATGTGATTGGCAGTTTCTTGGATGCAGACCTGCAGTTCTTTTCAGAAGGGATAAGAATTTGGTTTTAGAGTTAGGACAGAGGCTAATTCCTACCTATATCTATTTCCCCCATTTTTTTGTTAGTGACAGAACCTTGCCTTGGTTTAGGACAGCAGTGCACCAGTTGAATCCCCAGCTTCCCTCATGTCCAGATGTGGCCAAGTAATCAAGTTCTAGATTAAAGAGGCATAGTGGAAATGTCAGTGTGAAACTTGTAGGAAAGCTTCTTATAAGCTTCTTCCTCTCTGTGTCCTTCCTATTGTCTGTAATGTGATGGCTGGTGCTCCAGCAGCCATGAGCACAAGGTGACCTTGAGAATATAAGCCAATGTAGTGAATCAGGGATACATAAGGAGATGGGTCCCAGTGACTCTCTGAAGCCAACGGAGCAGCCCAGGACTGCCTGCCTCCAGAAGTCTACTATCTCCCAGAAAAAACCCTGGGGCATCTGGCCATCAGAGTCAAGTCTCAGAGAATGTATATAAACATTGTCATGCATTTTTATGGCCTCCATTTCCACTTGAGAAAGCCCACTACAAGCTTTCTCTTGGATGCAACTCCTACTTCCTTTTAACTAGCAGGTATTTTCACAGACTCAGCCTTACCAAGCAGCTTGCTCTCCACAGCACTTCGCAAGGACTGGTGTCGGAAGTAGAGGACACCATTCGGCTTCTCCTGGACCCACTGTTTAGTGGCATTGCGGAAAGCAGCCCAGTGCACTGTGGTCACTTTGTAATTATTCCTGTAGCCCAGTATGTCCAAAACCTGGAGTAGCTCATCCTCAGCCATGCCACAATGTGAGATGCACAGTAAGCACAGAGCATCGGCCACCCAGCCATCCAGCCCTGTGTGGACAACACAATGACAAGGACGACAAGTCAGAGCAAGCACCAGCCGTGCAGCATGCTAAATTTTGTTGTTGTTCTGGGCACTGAACTCAGGAGCACTTTACCATTAAGCTACATCCCCAGACCCTTTTATTTTTTATTTTGAGACAGGTCTCACTAGATTGCTTAGGGCCAAGTTCAGTTGCTGAGGCTGGCCTCAAACTTTCAATCTTCCTGCCTCAGGCTCCCAAGTCACTGGGATTACAGGTGTGTACCACCATGCCTAAATGTTTTATGATTATTCAACTTCTTTCTTTCACTCATTCTGTAGGTAAATACTAGAAAGGCCATTGTTTTATAAATGAGAAAAATGGAGTCCAGACAAGTTAAATAACTTCCCCAAGGTGACACAAAAGTAACAGGAATTTGGACCCAGACAGTCTGGCTCTAGAGCCCATACTGTTACCCATCAAGTTATCATTTATTCGTCCCAACTAACACACCCTGAGCTGTAATATGAACTGGCAAGCCTGCCAATCATCACACTGAGCTTTTCTGCGAGTAGTCTTCGCTAAGGTGAATTTGTACCATGGGTGGAGGTGGCTTTACTGTAAGATTGCCCTCCTGCCACCTGTTCACAGGCACCCCTGAGGCAGCCCTTCATTACCCACTGACCCTTACATTTTTATCCTCTGGGTGGATTCCCTGCTGCCTTTATGATCAACCAACTATAAGGAGATCAGCCCTCTGAGAAACATGGCAATATGGTCCACCATTCTGAATGCATTTCCTATGCTAGGACTGAGGAATGCGCCCAAATTTCAATCTTCAAGTGAAGGCAGAGCAGGTCAGCCCCTACCGCAGAAGCTTGGTTCAGCTCTTCCGTTCCTGTGGCGCAGCTCAGAGGGAGTTGCTGCACAGTGCTGAGGACAGAGCATTCCCTCAGGGGAAGAGACCTGGACTTTGCTACACAATCCTGGAGATTTAGGGTAGCACAGCATGGGCCACTTGGCTTGAGTGACTTCCAGGGGCACAATGATCTTGTTTCTCCCTCCTTGGAGATGGGAAAGGGAACAACCAACAAGAAATCATTTCTCTTTATAGAAATGCAGACTCCAAGGTGAAAAATGTGACAAGACATATATTACAGTACTCATCAATGTGTCCTTCATTCCAAACATTTTCTGCTTCTCTCTACACCCCCACCTCCTCCACCCTGCTCCATTTTAAGTTCATTGCCCTGAAGAGAAGCCTGTTATAGCAGAAACAAAGAGAGGAAACAAGTTTCACAATAGACTTTTGAAGCCCACAACAGAGACAGTGGCTTGAGAGAATAAACTGATCCTCAAGAGCCTGATTGTTGAATATCATCAAACAAATTCCTGACAAACTGTTGGAATAAACTGTTAACACAAAAGACAGATTCAACTACAGGATGATCTAACAAGGACATTTTTCCTATACAGGAAGAAGAGACCTTTGTGGAACTTTAAAAGGTATAGGAGAGTATCAGAGACCAAAACAAGACTCAAAAAGGGTGTGTACCAGGTCTGAGGAGGGGGGCCTCCCTGTCAGCAGGGGACAGCAAAGCTAGAACAATCCTAGAGCAGATGGGAACAGCCAGCCAAGCCCAAAATGGAAATACAGCAATGTCTGTGGGTCATCTGGGACTGTGGCCACCTTGGCAGAAGACTGCAGGGACAGATGACAACCAAGGACACTCATGATCTCAGTTCAACCTAACAGCCACAGGAAGCACACAAATCCTCGCCTGACTGAAAAACATAATCCTGAATTGACTAAAAACAAATGAAATTGATAAAATTAATCTGAATTGACTTGATTAGGTTTGTGCCATAAGTAGGACTATGTAATCAAGAGAGGTTAAACTGAGTTATAGAAATAATCAAATTATATTTCTCAGACCCCTGAAAAGTTTGACTGAAATTTGTAACTAAATTCTCCTTACTGACAACACGATGCTCTCTAGATAGAGTTGCCAAATTTAGTGATAAAATACTAGATTTCTATTTAAATTTGAATTTCAGATAAACAACCAACTAATTTTTAGTACAAGTATACTCCATACAACTTCTATATGGGCTATAAACTGAGACTTTTAACTCAGAATTATAACAGAGAATTATAACTAGATAAGAGTTGCCAAATTTAGCAATAAAAATACCAGATGCCTATTTAAATTTGAATTTCAGATAAACAACTAACTAATTTTAGTGTAAGTATGCCCTATACAAGTATAATACATTTGTAATATACTTAGACACTGAGAATTATTTGTGGCTTATCTAAAATCCAATTAATGTTTAGTATAAGTATGCCCCATGAAATATCTGGGACATACTTCTACTAAGAGATTATTTTTTATGGGTCTGAAATTCAAGTTTAACTGGGCCTCCTGTATTTTCCTCACCAACGCCATGCCTAGACTCACCCCAGGGGTGGTGCTTGCCTCACAGCTTTCTCCCCAAGAACACCCACCAAGCTGTCTACACTGCCCAGGCCTACTGTCTTCTGAAGTCCCATTGTCTGGATTTGCCTTTTTTTGTTTAATAGTCCAACTATAGTCTTCGGTCCAGCGTTTCAGAATCAACTCCCAGAACTCCTGCAGAGAGGCCACCTCCAGGTACTCCTTGAGACACTGAAGCTCATTGCGGTAGATTCTACATTCTTTCAGCTCATTGGCCAGGACTGTGAGTTTCAAAGGACTCAGGCTTGGTTTTTTTCTTCAAAGCGAGTCTGCTATGTAGGGAGGGGTCTTGGCCTGGGGTGAATAGGTGCTGTCTGAAGATGCTGAGCCTTGTGTCTTCATCTCCAACGCTGGTGAGTTCCACAATCTTCACGTCTGCCCGGGCACACAGCAACTTGCAGGATAGGCTGGAAGAGACAGTGCTCAGGATGAACTTGCAATGAGGAGGGAGAGAGTGGGGCAGCCAGGGGAAATCTTTGGCCTGATGGAGAGAGTCAGAGAGATGTAAAGCTTGAAAGTACACAGAGTAACATAAGGTAAGGTTGGCATTAGAGTTATTAATAGTAAATAGTAAACAAGTTGGTGGTAATAAAATACCAAGGCACCCTCAATACAACTATACTTGACTGATTTGCCTACTTATTAAGAATTTGATAGTGCAAAGGTGGACCCTAAAAACAGTTCTTATAAACAAGCAACAAAATAAAATCACACTCCTCTAAAAATTTACCGACAGTGACTAGAGGAGCCCTGAGAGAGTACGTGAACGATTCAATTGGAAAAGGCATGTGTGAAGCTGAAGAATTGTCACTCGTGCAAAATGGCTTTATTTTGGATCTTTTCTTGATTCCATCAACAGCCTTTCCCACTCCTTTGCCTAGTGATAGGATCTACCACATATTATGTGCTTCCCCCAGAGCCTGGCATGGGGCTGAGTGTGCTCTGGGTACTGGTTGTGCCATGTTTGAGGATGTTCTGACATCTTTCAAGGTCTTACAGACCCAGGGAGGCACTGTCTTTCTCAAAGCTAGCTGCGTCCACAGGGTGTACACAGCTTATCTGGACGCACCTGTCATATGCAGACCACAGATACAAGGGTGGGCCCAACCCTCTTTTTTTTTTGGTACCAAGAATTGAACTCAGGGGCATTTGACAACTGAGCCACATCCCCAGCCCTGTTTTGTATTTTACTTACAGACAGGGTCTCACTGAGTTTCTTAGCACCTCCTTTGCTGAGGCTGGCTTTGAACCTGTGATCCTCATCCCTCAGCCTCTGGAGTCGCTGGGATTACAGGCCTGCACCACTGTGCCTAGCGTCCAACCCTCCTTCTTAGCCAGCTTCCACAACCAGTACTTCCCCTGCCCTAAATCAACAAAGAGCCAGGTACCAGACAACTAGGGGCAACCCCCCTGTGTCCCAAGCCCACCAGAAGTATTCATATTAGCCAATCCTGAACTGTTCACATCCTAAGTAATGGGGGTTTCTTTTTATAAAACAGTAATAAAATAGGGGATTCTTTTAAAAAGATATTACCTTCTGACCTGAAATCCCATAAATACCAATCAATTCTTCAATTCCATCTAGCACAAGTATACATGGCTTTAAACTGATGGAGGCAATGAACACTTCTACAAGAAGTGAAAAGGCCAAAATGTTTGAATCTTCATTAAGAAAATCCATTTCAGGCTGCATATCTGCAATAAAGAATTTTCAAATTAGGTGAAAATATTTCCGTCATTGCTAAAATATGTAAATAGGCTGGGGAGGCAGAAGAGAGCAGGGAAAATGAGAGCTTCTCACAGCTGTACAGCTGATACACATATGCACGTGTTAGCTTCAAAAGATTCACCTCCACGGGGGAATGATATTTACCACCAGATGTCCCCAATACATTTTTTAGGATTTTATATACAAATATTTTTGTATGATTCAAAGCAACTGCTCTCATTTTCCAAAATGCAAAAATAGATCATGTTATAAAGAGTCAGAGGGGAAGAGAGAGATCATACAATTTGTGAAGTTTCTGCAGCTCCTTAACACAGGGTATCTGTTTAAGGGGCACGGCCACCACCCTGGGCTCTTCCAGCAATGCATGTATACTTCCCACTGCCTCATCTTTTTGGTCCTAGCCCACTTAAACCTAATGAAACCAATCCTAAATTCTGAACCCCATACCTTGAATTATGAAAATTGCCAGAAAGAACTAAGATATGAACCAGCAAAAAGCAAAAGAAGTCATTTGAGAAGACTAACTTTCAGACAGTGATTAAGTGACCTAGTAGCAGTGACCCCAAATTATAATCAATCACCTAATATTTTAAAAGTAGTTTAATTCATACAACTTCTACCTTGCCTTTATTTTTCAAAAGTAATATTTTCCATAGAAATTTAGGCATCTGGGGGACTATCAAATCAAGTTCCAGAATTAATTAATTAGTTTTTCAGATGCATTAAGATTCTGTTAGTCACTGAGAGAAATTATGTTTAATAAACATTTATTGGTTGCCTATTAGGTGAAGGTTCTGTGCTATATGACATGGGGAAATAAAATGGCCCAAAAAACAAAATCAAGGGAGGGAAAGGGAGGGGGCGGGGGTTAGCAATAATGGTGGAATGTGATGGACATCATTATCCAAAGTACACGTGTATGAAGACATGAATTAGTGTGAACATACTTTATATACAAACAGAGATATGAAAAATTGTATTCTATATGTGTAATAAGAATTGTGATGCGTTCTGCTGTCATGTATTTCAAAAATAAAAGCAATTAAAAAAAAAAGACAAAGTAAAGGGCTTAAGGAAAGTGGGAATGGGTTCTGAACACAGATAGCCAAATTTTAAGACAGAATAGGAGTCTGAAGTCTCCTGGATTTGGATACAGAACCAACACAATGAAGAAAAGTTGAACACTGGGGAATTCAGAGGTGGAAATGAAGGAAGAACACATCATCAAAACAAGGCGCAGGCAAAAGCCTAAAGGTAAGAGAGTACGAGTATTTGAAAAGTAGAAGCTGTTTAGAGCAGCAGCTCTCCACAGGCAGGAATCAAGACATGGGCATCACACACAATGAAGCTTTGCCTCCAGATCTACCTGACTTTCAATGTTTTGTCAGTCAGTCTCCTAAGGGGGAAAAAAACCTTTGCAATCACCTAACCCAGAAACCAACTCCATTTTATCTGTTAATACAAAGCATTTTTTTGGAAAATGACAACCTGACAATATTGCCCATGATGTTTTGAGTCTTATGTACAGTACACCCCTGTCAGTCACCACGCACAGAATGACATTTATTGCTTTCAGGGCGATTTTCCATACAGAGGCGCTGCCTTCTATTGGAACCATGTATGAGCAATTTACATAGTAAGATACATATTGTTTTCTAATAAATTATTCTCTCTATATTTGTTACAGTAGAAAGTTGTATTCATTTGTAAAAAGATTTTTATATCATAAAATGACCATAAAATTACTTGAAATATATATATGACTGTGTGACATAAAGAGGAAAAGGCATCAGAACAGATAGGGTTTGAGCTTGTATTACAAAACAACAACAAAATGTTTTTTTTTCAAGAAAGGGAAGAGGGAAGGTGGGCATGTGGCACATGCCTGTAAACCCAGTGTCTTGGGAGACTAAGGCAGGAGGACTTCAAGTTCAAAGACAGCCTGGGAAACTTAGCAAGACCTGTTTCAAAGTAAAAATTAAAAGGGGTAAGGGTGTAGCTCGATGGTAGAGCATTTGCCTAGCATGTGCAAGGCCCTGGGTTCTGTACCCAGTACGACATGATGGACAAATAAGAAAGGAAGGAAGGTAGAAATTAATTTTGCTGCTTCATCCTTTGAGCATTTTTTTAATCTTTAAAATTATGCACACTGTTAGGATTATAGAATTTAGATGATAGGATTTTAGAGTAGAAGGAGTTCTTGGAATTCATCTAGTTCTGAAGCCCCCTTCTCAAGATGAGAAAACTGGGGCTTAGACAGGCGAAGGGACCTGAACTTACAGATCACCAGGAGATTTCAAAACACTTTTCTCATGCTGCAGTCTGCTTTCAAGCCATGTGTGATCACCATTTCTTGGTATATCTAGCACTCGCAAGAGGGCCCACCAGGGTATGGAACAAAACTGGCATAGAGGTTAAGTTGCAAGACAGACATGAGAGAACCTCAAAAAATACACACAGCCTAATAATCATAAAGCATAACAGCACTACTAATAATCAGCAAAAAAAAATAATAATCCTAAGCAAAAAAAAAAAAAAAAACTCAAAGATGATGCTTGTGGATTTATCTTTGCATAGAAGGAAAGCACATATGGTTGTTTTGTTTTTATTTTTTGAGATTGGGTCTTACTTTGTTGCCCAGGCTGCTCTCAAACTCATGCGCTCAAGTGATCCTCCCGCCTCAGCCTCCCAAGTAGCTAGGACTGACTGCAGGCATGTACCCCCAGGCCTGGCTAACATAAATATAAGCATTTTAAATCACATTTGGGTGATTTTTCAACTAGTTTTCCTCAAAATGATTTTGAAAATAAAGTCAGCATCACTACTATTGAAAAATGATCCTAAGCAGTTCTGGTACTTTTTTTGGCAGGATCAATCTGTCCCTACTAAATGACAATGGTCTGTTGCCTAATTTAAGTGGTAATGTGTGAAATCTTAAAACATCCACTTGTTGACTTACCAACTGACCAATTTGTTCACTTTTTAATGGTGTTTTCTCATCATTCGACATGTATTTATTGAGAACCTTCCGTGTCTACGCCAGGCACTGGGCATGACAATGGCCAATAAAATAGACACAATCAACAAACAGAGCAAGACAAACAATAGGACATATAATGATAGAACCATCTGGAAATCACCTGAGGGACCAAGGAGGGTGAGCTCACAGTATTTGGAAGGAAATTAAAACACAAAGGGACCAGGGCTACCTTGGCTCTCTGGCCAGTGCTGGGGTGTAGGGGAGAGGCACTCATTTGCCCTCTTGCAGAACAGTGACCTTAAATAAGGCAATAAAGGAAGAGAAGAATTCCACTAATCTGGGAAGGGAGGGGCTTTTCAGGAGGAGGGAAGGGAAGGGACAAAGATGTGGAGGCCAGAAAAGTCTGATTTGCTCCCAGGAAACCAACTGGTGGGGCAAAGGGCAAGAGGTGAGGCTGAGAAGTTAGTGCAGCCCAGGGCACAGAGCTTGGCAAGGCCTGCCAAGGATTTCTACCCACTGCACTTCAGCGACTGGGCACAGACTCTGATGACAGCTGGCACTGGGAGAGGACCCAGGAGAAAGAATCCAAAAGAGGGAGATTTTTCCTCTGGTGCCTCAAGGAGTCCAGGTGGCACAGTGGTGAGGACTGGGCAGTTACGGCTCAGCATAAACTGGAGCTTGAACTCCCTCTCTGCCCTCCTGGAGCCGTATTGCCCTGACACTCAGACCTCAGTCCCCCAGTCTGGGATGCTACTGCCACCGTGGCTTGCTGAGGGCATGAATGAGATGCTGATAATGCCCTGGTGCTCAGAAAGTCTTCAGTCTTCTTTTCCCAGGACTGCCATCAGGTTCCATGGAGAGCCGTAGCAAGAAATGCATAAGTAAGAAAGGCCATGATTCCCCTGTGACCTCTGCAAAGCGTGTCACAGAAGGTACACTTGCTGCTGCAAGATAGGTAAGAGGCGTGACAACTGGCACAGGAGGCTCCAGGCAGCTCTCCTCAGCCACATCCTGGCAAGCAGGGGTTGGGGCTGAAGGAGCAGAAATGTGGGCGTCAGGCATGTGCCCCCAGAGTCAGATCGCAGCTCACGCAGGCGCTGCAGTCACAATAGCTGAGCTAGGTCACAATAAACTGTGCATTGCAAAGGATCTATAGGTGCTGCCTTCCTGTGCCTGTCCTCCCAGGTCAGCTGTGTGCGTCTTGGCAGCAGCTCCTCCTCCTGCACCCACACCCACCTCACCCTGGCTTCTTAGAAAAGGAGTCATGCTAATGCCCCGGGGCTGGTGTCACCCTCACCTTCACAGCCTCTGTGGGCTTTGCACGATGGCAGCTTGAATTGCAGTCCTTCCCCTCCCTAAGCTAGCTAATGAGCAGGAGTGTCTTACACTCTCTGCTTCTTTCTCTAGCCCAATAAGGGATAATAAAATCATCATCAAAAATAATAATGGCAGCAGTGTGCCTGGTACCATTTTTAATTCTTTACATGTATTATCTTTTATCCTCACACAGACTTAAGAAATAGGTATTATTGATCCCATTCTCAATTTACAAATAAGAAATCAAGGCCAGGCATGGTGGCACACAACTGTAATCCCAGGAGGATTACAGATTCAGGAGGCTAAGGGATTCAGGAGGCTAAGGCAGGAGGAGCACAATTTGAGGCCAGCCTCAGCAATTTAGGGAAACTGTCTCAAAATAAAAATTTTAAAAAGGGCTGGGGATGCAGCTCAGTGGTAGAGCACCCCTGGGTTCAATTAGGAGGTGTTGGAGGGGAAAGAGAGATAAAAGGGGAAGGGGGAGGAGTAGGAAGAGGAGGAGGAAGGGAAATTAGGACACAGAGAGCTTAAGTAAACTGTTAAGATCACCCAGCTATAATTAACAAGTCATCCAGAAGCACAGCCCCTCCCCTGGGCCTCCTACCATTAATGAGGAAGGTGTTCTTTAGGGGAGAAGAGGCGTCAGTATTCATGGGCTGTTCCTGAATTTATTCTACTGTTGTCTGCTTGCTTGAAAGATAGCAGCTGGTTAATTGAGAGCTTCCAGTATCCCACAACACACCCATTAAAACAGCAATTCACTTTGGGAATGAAATTATAATTGGGTGTGTTCAACTGAGTTTACATCACCAGCCTAGCCAGAGCAAGCACCCTGGGGACACACCAGAATAGGATCAGTGGCCTTCCAAAAGACAAACCTGCTGCTACTGATTGGGCTTTACCCATTTACATGCCCACCCAACTGTAGGAAACTCAGCCACCCAATCCACCCCACTCACTCAGATAAACCTACCACATGCATAGAAAGAGACCCAAATACGTGACCCTCAGGCAAAGATGATACACACCCATCCAGACTCACCCTGTGGCACCCACATATTCACTCAGGACCCAGAAGCTCCTGCACGAATAGGCAAAGTCAGACACATGCAGACGTGAGTGCACACAGTACCTACGAAGAGGAAGAGCTGGTACCCACACTTCCCGGGGGACCAACGGGCACTGAGCTAAGCCTCTGGATCACTCACACTTGATCTTAGTTAACCCTCTCACCTCTGAGCAAGGCACACACTCTTTTTTATCATCCACTTATTACAAATAGGGGAACTGAGCCAGAGGGTTTTACAATAACTCACCTAGGGCCACAAGCCAGGAAGCAGTGGAGCAGGGCTTGAATGTAGGTAGTCAGGCTCCTCAACTGCTCCCAGAACAGAACAAGGCACCACCCTGACCCCACATGATTGCCATCACGGTGGGGTGTGGGGGGGGGCACACCTTGTACCTCCCAAGCAGAACGTGACTTGCCTGCAAACCTGCTTCCCTCCCAGTCAACAGCTCTGCCATCCGTCTAGTCTCCTAAGGCCGAGAGCTGGGAGTTACTTGCAGTTCCTCTTTCCTTCAGTCCTCCAGCCCACTCCTCAGCACGGGAGCCCACCCCTCCACCTCCACTGTCCTGGCCCAGCCAGCACGCTCTTGCAACCGCTCCATAGCCTCCCGCCTCCACGCCTGCTCCCTGCGTCCATCTTCCACACAATGAAATCATGTCATTCCCCCACTTAAATTCCCCCAGTGGCCTCTCATTTTACTGAACAGAATCCGCATCTAACATTCTGGCCTACAAACCCCAAGGTGCAGTGGCCGACCCTATCCCCTGCTTCACCTGACAGAGGCACCTTGCGGACATGGCTTTCTGGCCACACTAGCCACTTTCCCTCTCTAAATCAGCAAACTGTGTTTCCGGCTTAGACACTGTAGTATTAGCTTAGCTTTTCACTCCACCTGGAATGTTCTTTCTCCTGGTCTCCACCTGGCTGGCTCCTTCTTGTCAATGAGCTGTCCCCAGAGAGTGTGGCAGAGGAGATGGCTTCCTGTCCCTCAAGCTTCATGCTGCCCCTTTTGTAGGGAGGGATCTGCTTTCTCTACCTGCTTGATTCCTCACTGGCCAAACTGTTGCCAGGAGACCCGAGGTGGAGCTGGTACATATTTCTTCCAGGTTGACACTTGAGGGAACAGGTCTCCTATCCTACACGTTCCCCTTTCCCTTTAGCAGAAAGCAAAGGACTCTGAGGCTCTGGGAGTGACACAGCTTCTAGATGGAAAGAAAACTGTGTCCTCAAATCACCACATAGAAGAAAGCTACTTGTTATCTAACCAGGAGCCACAAACTAGACTGTTACATGAATAAGAAATAACCTTCCATTTGAGAAGCCGCTGCAATGGGACTCAGCTGATACAGCAGTTGGAGCTACCCCACCACAGAGACACAGCCCAACTTCCCACTCAGGAGCCACCCTGTCCCCTCATCACATCATTCGGCATGGCATTAATCATATATATTTTTTTTAATATTTATTTATTTATTTTAGTTTTCGGCGGACACAACATCTTTGTTTGTATGTGGTGCTGAGGATCGAACCCGGGCCGCACGCATGCCAGGCGAGCACGCTACCGCTTGAGCCACATCCCCAGCCCCATTAATCATATTTGATATGTTACTCATTTACTTGATATCTGCCTTTCCCAACTGGAACATTATATCCCTGGGAGCCATGACCTTGTTCACCTGATTTACTCCTATATTCCCAGAACCCAAAAAAACGTCTTGTACAGAACAGAAAACCAGTAAATACTCTGTAATGAATGAATGAATAAATAAAGATGCTCAGCACACGGTTACTGAAATTGAGCAGGAGGAACAGTGGTTGTCAGGCATGTCCACCTAGGAGCCTGGCACTTGTCTCCTGTGCAAAGCTACTCCAGGAAGAGTACCCACCACTCCCTCCTCTCTCTTCTAGTGTTTATGTAAATGTTCTTTTATCCTATTCTCTGAGACACTACACACACACACACACACACACACACACACACAGAGGCTGCCTGCCTATTTTTTTATTTTTTTTTGCTTTTTCTGACTAAATACTTCTAACTTCTACATTTTTATTTAGTTACTTAGTTAATTCTTTGTCCTAATCCCTCCCTGGTAACCTGAGAACTCCATGGGGTAAGGGCTCTAGCCTGCTTTCTTCATGGTAGTGCCTGGCACACAGAGGTACTCAATAAACATTTAGGGAGGGAAGGGAGTGAGAGGGAGCAGAGAGCGAGAGATAAGGAGGCTAAGAGGGAAGAGGCGGGCAGATACATGGGTGGGACAATGTGGGGTTTACAGCAGAACAAGGGAGCACCAGGCGCATGAGCAGAAGAGGCATTTTCTGAATGAACATTGGGAGTCTGATTCTATTACTGTGGTTCGTGTGCTGTAGCTCTGTGATGAAGTAGTGGATCACGGACATGATGTCACTGCTTTCACAGGTGCTTCCCACAAAATGAGGGATGATCGATATGCTCGGATACTTGTTTTTGAAATAATTCACGAAGTTGGCAATCAGGGTGGACTTCCCGCAACCACGTTCTCCAGACAAGAGCAAAATAGACTTGAAAGCTGGAAGAGAATTTATTCTGAAAAATAAAGAGATAAAATGTAGTCAAGAACATTCACCAAGGAATAGAGGAGGGAAGACATCTTCTGTAGACATTTGACTCCAAGAGATAAGAATGTTAGCCTCAGCTGGTTTCAAAGAAGTCTTTCATCCTCTGGGCTTTGGCTTTGACCTATATAAAATTAGAGGAGTAGATGTTGGGTGGGCAGCCTTCCCTTCCCCCTCCCCTTTCATGGCAGCTGTGGCTAGGGACTTTCCACCTGGCTGAGGAGATGCGAAATGGCCATTCAGAAGCTGACATGGCAACAGACCCCAACCACCACCGGTTCCCGCAGCTGAAGCAATCGCCCTATCAACTCACATCAGCTCTGACCAACCAGCAACAGACATGATGCCCCTGAACCCAGCTCGGCCAACCTGCTGTGGGTAGCTGCGATTTAGATGGCCTGGGCCTTCCCACCTCCAGCTTCCCTTATTAGCACTGCTCTTGCCTTTCCCACCAACAACTTCCCCGGCCCTCACCCTTTTGTGGACCGGTGAGCCTTGCTCAGGAGCGCCCCCAATAAACACTCTTTTGGTACCTCATTCTTGTTCCGTGGTTCCTGATCTGGCATGCCCTTTCGGCTAACAGTAGAGAGACAGTAACTTCGGAAGGCCTTTGTAGCCACACATATCCTACGGTTGTCCAGTATGAACTCAAGGTTACGTCAAGGACCCCAAGGCTACAGCCCCAGTCTATTGCCCTCATGCCTGCCTGCTCATTCCCCTATCACCAGGCTAGTCCTTGGTACATCACTATATCAGAAGAGAATAAAAAACTGAAGCACTCATACACCAAGAATTCCCATAAATCCCAATGATCACGAAATTAGAAATTCAACTCAATTATCATCATCGTTAGTGATGCTCTGAGAAGTAGCCTGCTTCTCCACCAGGGGATGTTAGCTAGTTGTACTATACAAATATTTTATCTTTGAACTGACAGAAGCATAATAAAACTTGTTTTGTTGCTTTATTTTCTAGTGAAAACCTTCTGGATATGCAGAAGATTCTCAGGTCCATGACTATCACAACATAGAGATTCTAGTGTTGTTCCTTACAATTATGATTCAGTAAGTATGTGTCTAGTGATTTTTTTTTCATTGATGGGAGTTATTAGATATGGAAAATGACAAACTCCCAAAATAGTGAGGCCTGAGAAAAGGGGAGTGAGATAGAAAGCCAGACATTGACAGCATTGACCCTTTCCCAGTATATTCTTTCCTGATGATAAAACAAACCCTGGGGAAGAGGTGCCCATCAAACCTAAAAAGGCAGTCTCTGGAAGAGGCCAAAGCATTAATCCTTCCCTAAATAAATCCTTTATAGATACCAACCACTGACCCCAGGCCCTCCATCCAGTCCAGTAAGATGAATCCCAGAGACCGAGTGCTGACCCCAGACTCCCTCCCATTTGGCCCAGTAAAATAGACCTCAAATTCCTGAGTGTCCAAGCTGACACACTCATTAAGTCACCTCTCAATATAACCTACATAAACCCAGTTCCCTCCTTTGTTTGGTGGCTCAAGTGGAAAATGAGCCACCAAATTTTCATCACCCCATTCCTGCAGGAAACTCCATTCCTGAAGGTTGAAATAATCCATGAAGTTTGAATCCAGCTTGGTTCTTTTGTGCTAACAGGAGTACCATGAAGAGGACTGTTCCCAGGATTATTTGATTCACTATTGGATATTTAGTGACTAGCGCAGGACATGACCATATATTGTTGAACAAGTCAATGAATTAAATGCCATAAAGCTGAATTCAGATTCAGCAAAGCAAGAGGATCAGTTCGAAGACTCACTAACATAGAAACCCTAAAGCCAGGTCATTAAATAGTTATTTCTTAAGAAGTCCATCTCCATTAATATAAATTAGGAATGAATGTTTTATTGCTTAAATTGTTTTGCCAGCAAATTTGAGTAGTGGGATTTGATTGTGTGTCCTACCTTTGCCCTCTGCTCAGTCTAACCTCAACCAATCAGCTAGAGCAAGCCAGACAAAACATTTCACATAGGTGGGTGATTGCTCTGCTTGAAAGCAGCAAAAGTCCAAGTCCGTCCAATGAACAGTGCGGCCAGAAAGACCCATCCAGTATCTCTCCAGCCTCTTCCACTGCCACTCTCTCTGCAACTTTGACTTCCTGTGGCTGCTGGCCTCCTTGCTATTTGCTCCAGCCTCGGGGCCTCTTCCTCTATCTGGAAGATCCTTCCAATCCATATCCACAGGGCCTGCTTCCTCACCTCTTTCTAGTAGTTATCCCAAATCGCCTTGTCACTGAGGGCTTCCCTCAGCCAACCAGGTGGCCCATTTCTCTTCAACATTTCCTTGAAGGCACTTGAAGGCATCTAAAGCTCTGTTCTTATTGCAGTATCAAAAGCTCAGGAAAATCATATTAAAAGCTCTCTTAAACTTCCATAATTAGAGCTGGAGATGTAGTTCAGCTACATGTTTTGCATATCTGTTATGTTCATTGCCTGGGTCCACAATGCAGACCTCGATGGGGGCAAAGATTTCTGTTGCTTTTGTTCCCTGTATTTAAAACAATACTTGGCACAGAGCAGGTAAAAATAAATTAACAAGAAATGCAAATCTGATGCATCGGCATACCTACGGATAGGGTCTTAATCACTACTTCTCAAGAAAAATGAAAACACTGCAAAACAATCTGTGGCTCCTTTTCAAAATGAGAACCCTGTTGGTCTATCTGGTTGTCAATGAAGACACTGCTTTGACAAGTGAATAAAACCACACTCCTCTTCTATTGACCCTTACACACTATTCAGGAACACACAGAACGGAACATTGTTCCTGAATAGCAAAGCAAGCAAAAGCTCTGCATGTTTTCACATAACTCATCTAAAAGGACTTATTTAATTGTTGTATCTTGTTGGGCCCAACAATTTAAGTTGTTCATTTGCAATAAAATTTACTAGATTTCTCATCCACACTAAAATGCTTAAAATTATAAACTAAGTGATAAATAATCCACAAACCAAAAAATTCCTTGTTTTAAAGTGAACATTTCAGTGATTTTATTATATTCACAAATATGTCACTCTTTAATTCCAGAACCTCTACACCCATTAAGGATCATCATCCTAGGGCTGGGGATGTGGCTCAAGCGGTAGCGCGCTCGCCTGGCATGCGTGCGGCCCGGGTTCGATACTCAGCACCACATACCCACAAAGATGTTGTGTCCGCCGAGAACTAAAAATAAATAAATTAAAAAATAAAAATAAAAATAAATAAATAAATAAATAAATAAAGGATCATCATCCATTTCCTTCACTACCCTCATCCCCTGGCAGTCACTTAGCCAACTGTTTCTACAGGTTTGTCTCTTCAAGCTTCACATTTACAACACATAATGGGGCTGGGGTTGTGGCTCAGTGGCAGAGCGCTCACCTAGCACGTGCAAGGCCCTGGGTTCCATCCTCAGCACCACATAAAAATAAATAAATAAATAATATTGTGTCCAACTAAAATCTAAACATTAAAAAACACATGCACACACACACATAACCAGTGTGCTTTTCCTGCAGTCTTAAAAATACTGATTGAGGACTGGGGTTGTAGCTCAGTGGCAGAGCGCTTGCCTTGCACATGTGCGGCACTGGGTTTGATCCTCAGCACCACATAAAAATAAATAAATAAAATAAAGGTATTATGTCCATGTATAACTAAAGAAAGATTTTAAAAAAAAATAGTGTGGCTCAGTGGTGCAGCGCTTAACTAGCATGGGTGAGGCCCTGGGTTCTATCCTCAGCACCACATAAAAATAAATAAAGGTATTGTATCCAAATACAACTAAAAAAAATAATTTTTTTTAAAATAGTGATTGAATATTATGATGTAATATTAAGTCAAATAAAAAACAATAAATAAATAAAAACAATAAAGTCAAATAAATAATAAACAAAAAACTTCCTTTTGGCGTAATAAGTCACTTCCTCTTGGCATGAGTTCCCAGAAGCACAAAAATGTTGGTAGCTCTGAATGGACTTCAGTGGTGTGCAGCTGAGCCTGGGAGGATGATGGCAGAGAGCCCCTCACCATCCCAGCTACTGTGGGCTTATTTCAAACCATAAAAAGTGTACAGATAAAATGAGACCTGTGCTAAGAGCTGGAGGATGAGGATGAAAAAAGAAGACTATCCTAGGAACCTCCCTGCTTTCTAGGAATAGACCCTGAGGGACTCATAGACAATGCCAGTTTTCTTACATTGCCTTAGCTTCACAATGCCTATGGGTGGTAAAGGTGTGTCACCACCCAGAGTGGAAAGAGACATGCAGGTCTGATTATAGAAGACACTGGATAAACCAATGAAGGAGTGCATACATGGGGAACGATAACTTGATTCCTTACACATAAACATAAATAATGATATGTCCCATATCATTTTGATAAGTTCTGGTGAATATCTGAATGTAAATGTAATAATGATACACATGGAAGCCCTAAATTACATACTACTATACAAATGCAATATACATATTCTCCATTTTAGTTTCTTCTCCTTAAAGCCATTTCATTGTTCTTAGAATTACTTAGATCAATTTTGATGTATGAGAGAGAAAAGAAGGTAGGTGCTCTGCCTTCCAGCAGTTTATCATCTTCTTAAGGACACTGGAAGAAAGTATGTGAAAAACCAGAAAAGCTTTGCAAAAGCAGGGGGTACCTGATAAGGAAATCTAACCCAGGGTTAGCCTTTCTGGGGTCTCTCTTATAGGATGGGATGTCCACAGAATGGGGGAAGTGGGAGTGGACACTCTAAATTTGGAGGAATCACATTTACCAAAGCCAGGCTGTTTTGTTTGAACCCCATAAAGAAGGATTTGGATTTCTTGACATCTTACCTGAGAACAGAGACTAAATTAGAATCTGCTGCTGCATTTTTTAAGTCAAGTCCCTCATCCTTTAAGACAAATTGTTCCAAGATTTCAAAGATCCTGTTTGACTCCTTGGAAGAAACAAACGCTTGCTTGCACTTCTCAATAAACTCTTCATGATAGAAACATTCTAAGCTGTGCCTGTAGTCTTTATAATCAAAGAAATAAGTTTTAAGATCTTAGAATTATAGTTTTACATTTTCAATTGCACATGCTTTCTATAAATGCTCAATAAGGAATGTGCTCTCTGTATCTAGATCACTTTCTTTCCATGGTGGTGCCATATTTCACAGCCCATTCTGAATGTTAATGAAAGAAAACAACAGGGGTATGTCTGTGTGTCTACACATGGCAAAGCTTAGAGGAGTGCAGTATATTTCTAGGGCAAGATGCCCTAAAACAGATGACACCCATGGGTACAGCTGCAGCTCTGCCATTGGGCAGGTAGGTCCCTTAAACTCTAATAAGACGTAGAGTCAGACGATTGGATGATGTCTGGGTCCCTTGAGTTCCTATTTACTGTAAATCTAAAACCACTGCCTAATTCAAGTCAGGGGGGTTCTGGGTTGCTAAAATGCCCTTCTGTCTCTGGAGGGTGAAGGCTATTATCAATGTACATATAGGGGGAAAAAAACATAAAATAGTCTGGTAGGTTTCTAAGATACCCACCCACCTTTTGACTCCTTATTAACTTGTCTGCCCTGTGGTTCAGGTTAGTGCCAGGACAGACCTGAAGACCATAGGTCAGCTTCATGTTTCAAAATTTTTAACAGAATTTGGGATGATTGAGCTGAACTTGAACCTCACCCACTAAAGTGAGGTATCTGGAAGATCAAGTATCTCTAAGAATCAAGAGTATAAACTGATAGCAATAGCTCTACATTGTCTTATAACTACTAACTGTACAAATGGTTTATTGCTATCCTAGCTGTAGACTGTGAGATTTTGGAGGTTACCTAAATAATTTAAAGGGTATCATAGATCCAAAAGAGAATTTAGCACTTCCTTTCAGAGAATTTTTTCATAATCCACCCATTGTGTACCTTCTAATTTAGATATTTAGCCCACATACAACCCTTCAAGAATAAAATATAAAACAAGCTAACTTTTCAATAAGATCAAAAATTAAAGAGGATTGTGAGTTCAAAGCCATCCTCAGCAAAAGAGAGGCACTAAGCAACCCAGTGAGACGCTGTCTCTAAATAAAATACAAAAGAGGGGCTAGGGATGTGACTCAGTGGTCGAGTGCCCAAGTTCAATCCCTGGTACAAAAAAAAAGAATACTATGGAGAAATAAGATGAACTTAACCCAAGTACACAGAAAGGCTTGATTCTTGTATGAATTAGTGAATATTAATCAATGGATGTGATCCAGATTACGATGAGTAAAATACTATTACCATTACAGACTTCAGCCAGATGTCCATGTTGTTCTGGAACCCATTTGATTATTCACTCTTATTGGCTATTTATTCTGTGACTAATGAGCCAGGCACTGTTTTTAGGTGCTTCACATGTGTCATTACTCGTAAGCAGATTCTTGTCCATCTATTTTATAAAAGAAACTAAGGCTTACCAGTATTAAGTAATTTTCTCAAACTCACACAGCTTGGAACTGAAAAATCCAGGATTCTAAGACATGCCTGGAGTCAGATTCTAAAAACTTCATGCCTATAGTAAATATTTAAGATATCTTTAGGCTGCCCAACATCACTGACTCTACACTAGTTTCAGTAACAGCACTAGATCCACCATCCCAAATCTCAATTCATGTTATTAAGTTCATGACTCCATGTGCATTCCAGAGGCAGTCTATGATCAAGGATTAATTATCAGACTATCACATTTTCTTGGCACCCATGATTGAGGTTAAATACAAGCACATGGCCCAGGTTAGACCAAGAATGGCTCAGTGCTAGGAACTGAGCCAATTCTGCTGAACTTGAACCTGGAGTGCTACAGTCAACTTCCTTCTATGAGGGAGAAGCCAAGGAATTGAGCCAACATCAGAACAACAGAGCCAGGATGAGAAACCAAAAGATCAGAGCCTAGTGACATCATCTGAGCCACTAGTTGAAGCCTGAGCAGAACCAGACTGAATCCTGGGCTTTGCAATTATATTAGTTATAAGGTCCCTTTTTGTTGATGCCAGTTGGAGTCTCTTGCAACCAAAAGCTTTGTGACTGATAACAGTGTTTTTCCCCCAGGGTCCAGAATGATTTGGCTTATAGGCAGATTCACCTGGTTACCAAGGGTGAGATTTCTTTCTTTTTTTTTTAATATTTATTTTTTAGTTGTAGTTGCACACAATATCTTTACTTATTTATTTATCTTTATGTGGTGCTGAGGATCGAACCCAGGGCCTCGCACATACTAGGTGAGCACTTTGCCGCTGAGCTACAGTCCCAACCCAAGGGTGAGATTTCAACACCACCCCCAGCACTGAATTTGAATGACCTATGTGGGCCAATATTCTGTGACTTACCTCCTATCCATCTGCTCATATGATAAGGACTGTTGCCTGCCTGATCCCCCAAAACATTTGAGGATGTACCATCTACCACCACTTTATCTCCCTACATTAATTAGGCCCTTACATCAGTAATTCATAACCTTTTGGGGTCATGGAATCTTTTGAGATTTTGAGAATCTGATCAAAGACACAGGTCATCTTCTCGCCTCCCCCCAAAATACACATGCATATAAAAATCCTATTTTTAGTGTTATTTTAAGGATGCCTCATATCCCTCCTGAGGTTTCTCTAGATGCAGATTCTCTGCTATACCTTGACATTGCTCTTCCTGTTCTATCTTGGCACACGTCCTCAAGACACCATTTTCAAAAATAAAGTTAATCAAGGGCTGGGATTGTGGCTCAGTGGTAGAGCGCTCGCCTAGCACAGGCGGGACCCGGGTTCGATCCTCAGCACCACATAAAAATAAAGGCATTGTTTAAAAAAAAATAAAAATAAAGTTAATCATTTCATTTAGAAGCAATCTAATATGAGGTAGTGCTTCATCAAACTTCAGCACCCATACAATCTCCTGATCATCATGTTAAAATGCAAATTTTAATTCAGTAGACCTAAAATGGTACCTGAGATTCTGCATTTCTATCAATCTCCCAGGGTTGACAGTTCATGGATTACACGCTGAAGAGTATAGATAAAGAAGAACAGGCATGGATCTTAGAATCAGAGAGATGTGGGTTCAAATCTTGGATTGGTCATTTATGTGATATGGGCAAGTCATTTGACCACTATATATAGCAGGTTTCATTTGCTCATCTGCAAAACCAGAATTATTATTCCTGCCTTGCAGAGGTAAACTTTAAGGATGAAATGTGATTATATACACAAACCACCAACTAATGAAAGCTCTCTTTCCTTTGACTCAGGGTTTCTCCACGTTCACATTGTTGACATTTTAGGCTGGATACATGTTTATTCTGGAGGGCTGTCCTGTTCACTGGAGAATGGTTAGCACCCCTCGCCTCTACCTACTAGAGGCCAGTATCTCTCCCCCAATTAGGACCACCAAAAATGTCTCCAGATAAGATCAAATGTCTGGCAGGGAGGGGACAAAATTGGCAATAGTCAAGAACTTCTGCTCTAGATCTACACATTAACTGCCAGATATTCTGGGTCTTCTCTGAGCTCTTTAACTTCCTAACTATTCTTCCATGACCCATCATTAGCTCCCATTTTCAGTTTCAAAAATCTTCAAAATTAAAAAATAGGGCTGGGGTTATAGCTCAGTCACAGAACACTTGCCTCGCACGTGTGAGACACTGGGTTGGATCTTCAGCACCACGCAAAAATAAATAAACAAAATAAAGATATTGTACTCATATATAACTAAAAAATATTTTTTTTAAAATGAAAAAATATATATTGCATAAAATGGATAATATTAAATGCTTAAGGAATGTTTTCAATCATTTAAAAAATTTTTTCCTAGGAAGACATACAAAACATTAACCTGTGTTAATCACATTCACTCACCTATATTTTTGATCATTAAAGTGACTGGGTTAAGTTTTTCTATCACAAACAACCAGTCCTTGAAAACCAGTTCCCCCAACTCTTGGAGATCTTTATAAAATCTGATGGGAAGCCCTTTACTAATGATCTTGGCCTTAAGTCTTCCAATCTTCAATTTTTCCTCTTCATTCACCAGAGCACCTGAGGACAGACTCTCCTCCTCTTCCCCACTTAATATCTTCAGCAGCGTGGTCCTAGTCCTGAAATAAAAATATTGAAATTGTGACTGGTTCCAAAATGCTGCCTGGGTGATCTCAAACTCCATCAGGCTGCAGTTGGGAGTCTCTAGGACCCAAGGATAACCATTTTTTGCAGCAACATAAAGATTCTGTTCTGGTTTGGATAAATTTGATAGGTCTTTTGCTTTGGAGAACATGAAAGGTGAGTGGTCAGGAAGGAAGTCCCCATAGGTCTGACCCAACATGCAGATGAAGAAGGGAAAGCAGCTGTTCACATAGTCAAGACAGAGCTTCAGCTGCTGGGAGAGGAGACAGCAACCCTGTCTATACAAGTTGGCCGGCAAGGACTTCTGGGCCTTCAAGACCGACCACCTCAGGTCCACAGGTTTGAAGTATGTACCCCGGGAATTGCAGAGTTCATTAAGCTGAGGGAAGATGTTGGTTGCCAAAAAGTTCCTCTCTTCTTGAAAATCATTCAGAGTGGAGCAGATGTAAGGCCGAATGGGCGTCTGGGGCTTTACATTGAATTGGGCATCTCTTTCTACATTCTCATTTGCCTTCTGGTTCATTTTCCTTTGCTCGGGGAGGATATCACATTCAAATCAGGACAGTTTGCATCCTGGGGCGGCCTCCAGCCCTCACTGCTCTTAGATCTTTCTCCTAATGATGTTTGCTAGAAAAAGATGGCAATCTTTCCCCAAGGTAGTTCGTGAGGATCATCATTTGAGGATGAGAGATGCCTACCATTTGAAGGTCAGGAAAAAAAATCTTGATTGTTAGGACTGAAAAAGAAAAAACATTCATTTTAGAGTTCCAAGTAGCTCCTATCTCCCCACTTCCCCGTAAGCTCTTACTAAAGAACTGAGCACAACAAGATGAGAGGGTGCTGACACAGGCCTCCCTCCCCCCAGTCTCCCATTCACCTCCCCAGGGGTTCTTCACCTAACTGCTACTTTTGCCCCATATGTTAAAGGAAGAGAAGTCCAGAAAAGGAGCCTAATGTGTTTAGGAGCAGAATAAACCAAGGAAGATTCATGACTGTGACCAGAAGCAAGAACGAAAACAGGTATAAAGTTGAAGTCAGCACAGGAAAAACAAATCAAAAGTATCAAGACCAAGAATGTGGCTGGCAGCTGAGAGGAAGTCTGACTCCAGGAACCCGTGATTTTTTTTTTTTTTAATCTTAAATTTTACAGGCTCACACAACATTCCATTCACCTACATGAGCTAGAATTTAATTCCACTGAGTTAATGGAAAAACACACAGCCTCTAACAACATCATTATGCTTGCGAGATGTTTAAAAAAAAAAAAACAAGATAAAGAAAACTACCTGGTTTTATAAGCTTTTCCTTGGTACAACTCATTTCCATACCAAATGTTGCTTTTCTGGTTATGTTTGTTGCTTTTACTTGTGCAAGAACACATGATGTTATAAGCATTTGGCAATTTTTTAAAAAGCACAGTACTGTTTTTAAAAATGTTAACCCTAGGGCTGGGGTCGTGGCTCAGTGCTAGAGGGTTTGCCTAGCATGTGTGAGGCACTGGGTTTGATCCCCGGCACCACATAAAAATTAAAAGAAAAGGAAAAAAAAAAAGGTATTGTGTCCATCTACGACTTAAAAAAAAACAAAAAAAGTATTAACCCTAGCCAGGCACAGTGGCATATGCCTGTAATCCTAGGGGCTTGGGAGGCTGATACAAGAGGATCACAAGTTCAAAGCCAGCCTCAGCAACAGGGAGGCACTAAGCAACTCAGTGAAACTCTGTCTCTAAATAAAATACAAAATAGGGGTGGGGATGTGGTTGAGTGCCCCTGCGTTCAATCCCAGGTATCAAAAAAAAGCATTAACCCTTTTGCATTGAATTGTCTCAACAATCCTATGACAGAAAATAACAGCATTCCTACTTTATAGATGAAGAAACAAAAAGTTCAAGCAGGATAAGCAACAGGTCCAAAGTCATTCAGGTAGAAATGGAGAGCCAGGATCTTAACCCAGCTCAGTCTGACTCCAGAACATGAACATGATAATGCCATCATATGACAGAGATAAGACTCTGTCATGAAAATCCATAAACTCATTTTTTGGAAATGGGGCAGAAAACCCTATCCTATGAGTAATATTATAATAAATAGGTGACAATTCAGAAAAAAAAAATAATTTTAAAACACAATCTTACACCATTTTACCAAAAAAGCTCTAAAAGATGACAGAATAAACATCATGGGTTTTTTTTAATAGACCTCTCACTATCATGTAGGAAACTGGAGATAGGTTATTGGCCCTTGCAAAAAGTCACCTTCTGCCATGGTGGTACACACCAGTAATCCTAGCTATTTGGGAGGCCAAGGCAGGAAGATCATAAGTTCAAAGCTAGCCTCAGGAATTTAGTGAGTCCCTAAACAGCTTATTGAGACCTCCTCTCAAATTTAAAAAAAATAATAATAAAATTAAAACTAAAAAAGGGCTGGGGATGCAGTTCAGTGAAAAGCACCCTGGGTTACATTCTCATTACCAAGAAAAAAAAATTATCAGAAGAAAAAAATCAGTGAACTTGAAAACGTAAGAACAAAAAATATGTAAACTGAAGTACATTTCACATACCAAACAAAAATACCAAAAGAAACCAAGTAAAGCCTCAATAATGAGGGGCAATATCAAGTGGTTCTCAACTTGGAGACCCAGAAGGAGGGGAGAAAGAGGAAAGGACAGAAAAACAATACTTGAAGAAACAACTGCTAAAAAAAGTGCCGAACATTATGAAAACTGTGCACCCATGGATTCTACAAAGCTCAATTCTAAGCAGAATAAATGTAAAATCATGCAAAAGAACACCACAATTGAAGGCCTATAAAAAGCAGTGATTTTTAAAAATTTTTTAGTGTTGATGGACCTTTATTTTATTCATGTTTTTATATGCAGTGCTGAGAATTGAACCCAGTGACTCGCACATGTGAGGCAAGCGCTCTACCACTGAGCCACAACCCCAGTCCCAAAAAGCAGTGATTTTAAAAAATCTATAAAACAGCAAGACAAAACAAAGCCATGCTATCTAGGGACTTCTATGGATCCAGGCTGATAATGGAAAACTCTTAACAGGCCCTTGGCCTCAGCAGTGCATAAAGTGCCAGGCTTCACCTTGCTCCTCCCATGCAATAAAAGGCTTAAACCCTGAAAATTCTAGATATTTATAGACTCTGGGAGATTCTGTTGAGAAGGCCTTGGTAGATTCCCGCAGGAAAGCAAGACAAACTTCCGTGCTTCCCTCCTGGGGGCCCACAGCCACACCCCAGATCTGCAGGTCTCAGAGATCTTCATCCTAACTGGGGAAATAATAAAGTATACCAAAAGCCTCTGGGGTGTTTCCTTTCTTCCTTGGGATGCAGAAATCCAAAAGATTGCTCCAACCACCCTAATAATGAGAACAACTATAAAATTAAAAATTTTCTGGAGCTGATCAGAGACCTGAGGTCCTAAGGTAAACAAGTAACTTGGAATCAAAAGAGGGACAGGTCCCTTCAAGGACAGTTGGGACACAAACTGGTGGTGGAGCATAGGAGAAAAGCTACCGTAAAATCAAGTAAGAAAACATCAACAAAAAAAAATTTTAATTTCTAAGGAATTAAAGGCCAAGAGTGGGCTAGTCCAAGGGTGTGGCATAGCAGGAGTCCATATGTAGGGAAGCTCACAGGCTCTGTCCCATGAGAGAAAAAAAAACTAAGGACAAGATAGGAGACCAGACGGAGCACCAGGCCCATAGGAAGTGATTGGCAGGTGCTGTGGAACAGCAAGAACCCTGCTCACATCCCCAGACCTCTCCTTACACAAAGCATAAGCCAATGGGAGAAGAGCACAGTTTCTGGAACCACTGCCAACTGCAACTGGGGAAAGAGAGAGGGAAAAGTCCTCTAACCCTTGGGGAGAAGCAGGAAACCATCTTGAGCTCAGAACACGGTGCTGATGCCAAGAGATTTAACACGCCTCCCAGAGCGGCAGGAGAACACACACAGAGTTGGGATACCTGGGGGAGGCGGGCAGAAACCCTGAAAAGAGCCTTCCCCCCAGCGCCAAAGTACTCTGGCCAGTCTCACCCAGAGAGGCCAAAGACAATAGTGAGCGCCCCCTCCAGCTGGTGGAGTCAGCACCAAGTAACCCCAAACAGCAGTCTACCAGAGCAGGAGGAAGACCAGGAGCTCAGAGCGGGGACTGGGCAAGGTGAACCTGGGGAGAGCTGGAAGCGAAGAGCTGACTGCAGCACTGGAGGAATCTGAGGCCTCAGCTGGATGGAAGGTCTCAACGGGACAATGAAAGCTAAACCGGATCAATCCTAACAGCATTGACTCAACTCTCACACTCACAGATTGATCAAAACAAGACCCAGGGATTAATATAATCTATCTTACTGTATTAGTCACCTTTGCATTGCTGTGACCAAAATACCAGACAAGAACAACTTACAGGAGGAAGTTTATTTTGGGCTCACAATTTTGGAGATTCGGTCCATAGTCGACTGACTAACTCCACTGCTCTCCACCGGAGGGAAGGCAGAACATCAGGGCAGGAGGGCCCAGCAGAAGGAAGCTACTCCACTCATGGCAGGGAGGAAGCAGAGAACGTGGGGGGAAGCAACCACTGGGAAGCTGCGCCCCTCCAGGACATATCCCCAGGGACACCTCCTCCAGCCATGCCCCACCTGCCTACAATTACCACCCACTTAGTACATCCAAACTAGGATGGACCAATTTGGTTACGTTCTCGTAATCTAATCACTGCACCTCTGAATATTCCTGCATTAACACGAGCTTTTGAGAGACACCTCATATCCAAACTGTAACACTGAGCCTCAACTAGTTCTAATACAATGTCTAGATTTTAATTTAAAAATCATGGACATACAAATATGCTATAAGAAAACAAATCCATCAGTGCCAAGTAGGGTGGCACATGCACGTAACCCCAGCTACTTGGGAAGCTGAGGCAGGAGGATCATAAGTTTAAGACTAGCCTCAGCACCTTAGCAAAATCCTGTCTCAAAATAATATTTTAAAAACTGGGAATATTGCTCAGTGGTAGAGCACTTCCCCAGCACATATGGGGCCCTAGTTCAATCCCAGTACAGAAAAAAAAACACAAAATATCCATATTCAATAGATATATCGATCCACAGAACCATACTCAGACATGATCCAGATGTTGACCCTTTCAGACAAGTTTTGAGTAGCTATGATTAAAAGGTTTTTAAAAATCTATGAAAAAGATGTAACACATGCATAAATAGATGTAAATTTTCAGTAAAAAGATGGAAACTATGAAAGAGAATAAAATGGAAATACTAGCCAGGCACTGTGGCACATGCCTATAAGGTCAGCGGCTCACCAGGCTGAGTCAGGGGGATTCCAAGTTCAAGGCCAGTCTCAGAAACTTAGAGGCCCTGTCGCAAAATAAAAAAATAAAAAAATAAAAAGTGCTGGGATATAGCTCAGTACTAGAGCACTCCAATTCTCAGTATTACTCCCCCCACACACACAAAAAAGGATATACCAGAAAGAAAAAAAACATGTCAGAGATAAAGAATTCCTTCATTAACCTTATTTAAAGACTAAATACAGTAGAAGAAAGAATCAGTGAGCACACCGATTTGAAGAAAAAGCAGCTAAGAATTTCCCCAAAATAATGAGAGACATCAAACCACCAACCTAAGTATCTCAGATAAACTTGAGCAATATGAACACTCAAAAAATAAATAAAAAGAGGAAAATAAATAAAACACCTAGACAACAT